TTATTATTAGTAGTTAATTATTAATAGTTAAAATATATGTATAATTATTAATAGTTAAAAATGGACAAAATTCTATATACGTTATTTTCGATCTCTTAACTTTTATTTGAATGTTTTCCAAATTATAGTAATTTTCGAATATTCGACTTTAATTCATTGAATCAGTTTTGCTTATTTTAATCGCCTTATTAATATATATTTTGAGAATTCTTTGAGAATTCTTTTAATGACAGATAAAACTAAATTTTAAAAAAAGTGACAAAATTTTATAGAATATGGATATGTACATGTTTCATTTATTCATTTAAAATATCTATGAACATCGATCATAATTTTAAGTTTTTTTTCTGCTGTGTCACTGCATAACTATTCTCGGAAGAAATACTATACATTAGATGTTATACGAAAGATAACGAAGTATAGAGTATATTTAGGCTACATTGTAAACGTCCTCTCCGAAGAAAACTTTACTCGGAATGTAATGTATCTATAGGTGCACGTAGTGTATCGATAAAATATTTCTCGGAGAAAACATTTTAAAATATAGTCTTAGATATCACGTTTCTGGTATCTACTTGTAAAATTGTAAGCTAAGCGTGTATCTATATATATATTTCAGTTTCAATCCTTGGGGAGAAATTATATTAGGTTTGTCTTCATACTTTGCCTTGTAACTCGCGATGCAAGTTTTTAGTTAGAGTCAGTGTAACTGTTCGTTGCAATATTCAAAATACCGTCCTTATAGGAGGTACCAGAGATAACTTAAAGTTTGCGCGAAAAGAATATTATAAAAATGGTAGGCTACATTTTTATTTAATTTTAACAGAAACTATGGTAAATGATAAATAATATATCTTATATAAAAAACTCTATAACTGAAAACTATGTAAATTATGTAACTATATTTTTGATTAATTATCTTTATTGTATAAATATAATTATAATTTTGTCTTATATTTATTTTTTATTGTTAATGAGTTTAAATATTATAATAAAGAGTGATTTCTAAGACTGTACATGAATATACACTGAGAAACCCAGTTCAGTTGAATCAATTAATTTCTTTGGATATGGGCAAACAAATTCTTGATGCAATAAAATAATTTAGTTGAAGCCAAACATTTGGTTATTATAAACAACTTTATCAATCAACAGATATCAATATTTATCAGAAACAAGTGAAATACAATAACCAAATGTTTTGCTTCAACTAAATTATTTATTGCATCAATTAATTTCTTATTTGAATATGGACAAATCCTTGGTCAACTAAATGGGTTTCTCAAATGTACAATAAGAAAAGAAAGAAAACCTATATAACGATTTTAATATGTTATCCAGCATAATTAATCAGGACTGGCAACTTATTTCGTCCATGGATGAATTTTGACTGACGAAAAAGAAGAATACAAAAAGACAATCTTTTTTTTATTTTTTATTTATTTTGTATTCTTTGTTGCCATCCCCTTTTTACAATTGCAAATTGCATCACTCTGTCTAACAGTCGGTAAGGGATCATTTATATGCCGTAATTTGTAAGAACTAATTAATCACATTCGAATATTCCTCTTTCATTCAATTGTAAGAGAGAAACGCTCGACTGTATATATGGTACACGATTACGGCCAGTAAATAAATGATTTCTGAAAGTTGAATCTTTGTTATGCGCAGTTGTACTGCCATTACAAATATCGTCAACGCACATTTTAAAAAGTTCACAATTGATTTTTAATCCGATTCTTGGATTCCTTTGGTATGGATTTTCACATTAAGCTAAATTTTAGTGTGGAATGCTCTACGATTCCACTATAGTTGTTGGGTCTGTAATTAATTCTTGAACGGCACACATGGGTCATTCATGTCCATGCATTGCTCTTTCTAATATTCTTATTTCTCATATATCTGCCTGACCCTATGCCATCCCAACTTTTCTCCAATACCTTAAAGAACATGTGTGAATTTTTATAGAATTTTTCAAGCACTTTAAAATCGAGTCGGACACAAATGACCTATATTGTTCGAAGAAATATTGAAAATAAGTATGTCATACGAAGGTTGTTTAGTTCTTTAAAAATGCTTTATAAAATGCGATGAGCATTAAATTAGTAAATTGTTAATCAATTTAATTTGTGATATTACTATTGTAGTTCAATCGGTTTGCGATCAATCAGTTTCAAGACCGAAAAATTAATTCAGTGCGCCATTTAAATGATTATACAGATAGAATATAAATTTATATAAAATTATTTAAGCACTTAAGATTCAGCTTGATCATTAAAGGTTTTCTTTTCTTTCTTAATTAGTTTAATTTAATTTATTATGTTTTATATTTAAATCACAAGCCATATTTTTACAATTCTAAAAACAGAATTTTCTATATTTACAGAGATTAACCATTGCAAAGTTTCTCTTCACAATCATCATATTCGTTTGCTGGTCTACATTATCAATAGCAAACGTTGATCACTTTGCCATAGAAAATTACGTGAACAAATCGCTTCAACTTCTATGTAATGATGATATTTCTTTAAACTTCTCAAACGCTGTAATCTCTGAAATCAAGCGGAATTTCATCAGCAGTTCGGTGATTACCTGTCTCAATCTTACGAGCAATAGTATTGAGAAAATTGGTAGAGGTGCCTTCGATAGATTACCAAATTTAACTCAATTGTTTCTTTCAAACAATAAATGGAGCAGCTTACATGAACTTCTTGACTTTGGAGGTCACTCTAAGTTACAAGTGCTTATTATGAATGATGCAAAAAGCTGCAATATCGACAGCTATCGTAGATCATCTGTACAGATTATCGGCGAATATCCTAACTTAGAAATTTTATCTCTAAGTGGAAATTGTATCAAGGATTTTGCGCTTGATTATCATATTATAGGAACCCATTTTCATATGACGATGTCTTCGATTGATAGCTGGATGCCATTCCCCAAGTTAAAAATTCTGGATCTCTCCAGAAACAGGATAATGAGACAGGATTTTGTACAACTAGTGTCGAATAATTTATACTTTCTTGATCTTCATGATAATTTGCTTGATAGGTTACATTTAAACGAAAAAGGAAGCAAATTGTTCGCGCTGAATTTGGATAGAAATAATTTTGACATTATTAATAGTCGACACGAATTCCAATGGACTTTATCGATGGCCGGTCTGAAGAATCTGCACTATCTTTCTGTTTCCAAAAACAAGATTAATAATATCGATTCAGATGCTTTCAAAGACAATAATAAATTGCTCTTTTTAAACTTATCTTCAAATTACATACATGAGCTACATCCGAAAACATTTGCATATTTACAGAATTTAAAAACACTCGATCTAAGTGGGAATCTACTCAAGGATGTTCCGCAAATTTCAAATGAAACAGAAATTAGCATTTTATATATTAGTAACAACTACATATATAAAATACTCTCGCATACTTTCACGCATATGCCAAAATTGATAAAACTATTAATGGGAGAGAATCGGATTAATGAAATCGATGTTAATGCGTTTGCTCCTCTTACTGTCCTAGAAGAATTAGATTTGTCGAGAAATATGTTAAGCTTTTTACCAAAAAAATTGGCGGAAACTCTTGTATCTTTGAAATATTTGGATTTAAGTGAGAATAAATTCACTTCGTTGGAGTCTTTGTCACTAACGAATACATGGCCATCGATAAAAGTATTATATTTAATGAAAAATCCATTAAAATGTCTGAATGTTAAATATTTTGAGAATTTACCGCAGAATCTCACTATTGACTTGATAAATAATTCAAATTTTACAACTTACGTAAATGATATATTGATGTACTCAACTTACATGTACAGAAAATTGATGAATCATACAAGTGATCATATACTTTATGCATAAGATGAGGAAATGTAACATATTTCATATGTTCCGAATGTTCCGCTTAAATTTTTATGTGTTAATTTAACATAAGATGAATATATGTTAGAAGATAAATATTATTAAGAAGAAACATAAAAAGGTAAATACTGACATAAGATTATAAACAATAATGAAATGAAAACATAATTTTTAAATGAAACATTTATGATATATTAAATTACACATACTTTAATCATTTATTCTTAGAATTTACGTTTTGAAACATACATATATATTTTTATGTTATTTACTCACAATTTATATTATTTTGATACTAAAAAATGTTGAATGTTAATAATTAATTATTTATTTAAATAGTTTATTTAAAAATCCTATAGTCAAACTATTTGAATAACATATAATCACATTATATTAAATTAACTTGACTGGAATATGTTAAAAAATTTCTACAAAAATTTAACAAGAACTTGAATGTTCTGTTTTCAATACAAATACGAAATATTTTTATGTATGAGAAATTTGTATTAATAAAGACATCGATACAAAATTGAAACTAATGAAATTAAAATTTTAATTCTATAAACATAAAAAATTGTTCTCTTTATTTGTTAGAAATAATAAATTTTTTAATAATTTTTTTAATACTGCAAGATTTTTTTATGCATATATGTAACATCGAAAATTGTGTTTATAATCAATATTAAATATATTACAATTCCATATATGCATATATATATATATATATATATACATATAATATCTATATATAAAATTATCCTTATGTAGTTATTAATTAGTTATTCGACTTTTGTGAATAATTATTTTCGCGTACTTATCAATTACCAGAGAGAAACTTCTCTAATTACATTGAAATCCTTATAAGTAGATATAGTATTGCAATAGATCACAGAAAAAATATACGTATATAATACAATTTGCATGCAGTCTTCCCATCCTCATCATCTATCCCAAATCATCTTCTCAATCCATTTCTCCTCAACAATTATTTCATTGACTCTCTTCCTAGTTTTTCCGATTTTCTTTCACTCTCTCAAATTCACCCTCTCTTTTCCATCTAAAACCTCGTCATTCCTAATTTTTTTTCTTTTACTCCTATCATAGCCACCTATCTTTTTAATATCCTGAAGACTATAAAACTCACTTCTACCGAATTTATGAAATTTAATGTACTTTTAATAAAATTTTCATTTCATTTAAAAAATTACTGTAACTTAAATCATTCATTATTTTTAATTTCGTTCATAACTACTTTAGCTTTATTTACTTATAAAGGAACATGTGTTTATATTTCTAACAGTGCAGTTGATCACGAATTGTTTCTCCTTCTTTCCTTTAGCCTATCTTCTTCCGCTCTATCATTTTTACATTCCTTCCTTACTACTCAACGTGTTTTTTATAATTCTCCCTCTTTTTCTTGTCCTCTCTGATGTTTCCCAAGGTTCTATCATTGGTCCTTTACTCTTTACGATATTTACCGCTCTACTCACTTCCATATCATTTAACTTCAAATTCATGTATGCTGACAATGACGTATTATGATACTCTTTTCATCCGAAGTTTCCTCTGCGGCTGCTGACATAAACCAATCTTTGCTCTATCATATGTAGAGTGGGCCTCTTCCAATGCACTTTTAGCTCTTCTAAATCCTCTTTATTTGTTACAAGATCACCCTCCTTTCCTTTACTATCCCTTCTCTCTTCTTTCAATATTCTCCTTAATCACTCACAAATCTCTCTCTCTCTTTCTTTCTGTTAAAATTCTTGGAGTCCATTTTGACCTCTCCTTTTACTTTTAGCGAGCATATCGTAATGAAATGTCGCGCAGCCTTCTTACATCTCCGCCTTTTATATCCATTTCGTCACATCCTATCAATCTCCCAGAAATTCCTAGTATCCCAACTGTTTGTAATTTCCTTGTTTGATTTGATCTATATACCAACATTATCTCAAAAATTGCTTACCCGAGTCCAGCGTGTTCAGAATTCATGTCGTTACTCTTTTAATATACGTAAGTATGATTATATCTCTCCTTGTTTCTTGCGCTTCGGTTGATTCCAGATACATCAGTGTTATGTTCTTCATTTATGTTATCTTGTTTTTCGTCTCCTTCTGTCTGATATTCCTCGATTCCTCTGTAATCTTCTGTTCTTGACTCCGACCTTTATTCTGATGATACGACAGACACATGGTATCGTAATTCCTTATCCTTCCCCAAACATCGAACTTCCAAATTTCAAAGTTGCGTTTTTCTATACTGCCACAAAATTTTACAACATGCTAACCTCTTCTATCCGCTCTTTCCTTTCGTTTCGCTCTGCCGCTACTAATTGTAAGTTCGTATCAACTCTTTATTTCTATTTACTTTAATTGACAGTATTTCCTATAATAATTCCGTTCTTTTTAACTGTCTCTGTTTATTACGTAATAAGTCTGCGTTTATTATTTTAATCATGCTCTCGTGCAATTATATTACTTACATCATTCTTGTCCTCTACTTTCTTAAAACTATCGAGTTATTTACTAAGCAAGAAGCTTATCTTTCTGGAATTGTACTCATGTTTCTGTAATTTGTAATTTCGTTTTCTAGAAGGCTTAGCAACAGCAGTTCTGCTGATGCCTTATTTGTGTATGCTTTTGTAATTTCTCTATATACAATAAATAATAATAATAATAATAATAATAATAATAATAATAATGATAACAATAATATATTTCCTAATGATTAAAAACTCATATTTTATTGATGTAAATTGTCATATTTATAATTATATATAGAGAATTATATATAGAGAATAAGATAGTATTATGGCCAGTGATATTGTGACCTCTCTTAATATCTCCGCTATTGTATAGCGAATCCTAATGATTACTTGTAATATTATTTGTTCAATAATTCGTCGTTACACTATGGCACTAATATACCAATAATCAATAGCCAGCACTTATTATAATGTATTTTTAATTTCGAGTATTTCAAAACGTTCCTGAGATACATTTTAGCATTTAACACCTAAAATTTACACCTTTCTCATTTTTCTTAAACTTGAATATTATCACAGGAATATATGTATTTTTTGAGTGTGTTGTTTGCTAACATTTTATTTAACTGTATATGTATGTTCTAAGTTATGCAAATTTGAACAATAGCATGACATTTTGCTAATATGGTCTTCTATAAGTATTGATTATTCACGGCCTCTCTTTTGAGATTTCCATATTAAAATAATTATTTGATAATCGATTGTAACTCTACTGTTCTAATCTATAGTTTATATTACGTGTTTATATGACATTTAGTACTATTTTTAGTACTGAGCATCTTATATGCAGAAATTATATGTGAATGTATATACATTTATTTACATACATTTTAAAATGTTTTACTTTCTTATTAATTTTGTGATCAAATATTGTTTTCCAAACAAAACTAATTTTTCACACCCATTGTTTTTCTTCGAGTCATTATATAATATCGCCACATTTTTATTAATAATGTTCTAAGTAATAAATATTTCGTAACTTTGAATCCAGAATCGATTAAACAACATTTTAATGAATATATTATCAAGTTTTAAATTAAATATTAATTATTAATAAAGTTATTGTGTAAAATGTAACTGTCATAATACCATCTTTTCCTCTAATATAATATAATATTGTATTAGAAGATAAGGTATAATACAATAATATTATATTATAAAAATTTGTTTAACACTTCTTTTCAAATAAAAGTATGATAACATGATATAAAAAGTTAATAAGAGTCAGAAAATATAAAAAGTCTCCATTATTCGTTTAACATAAGCATAATTGAAATAGATATAACAAATAAGAAAATTAAAATGTTACAGAATGCAATACTAAGTAGAATTACATATTTCGACCTTATATTTAGGCCCTCTTCAGATGTACAAATTATCCGACACTGTAAAAATTATTATTCAAATATTAAGAAAGCGACTATTTTAATTAGATAAGTGTTAAGTCAAAGAAACGAAAAGTTATTCGTCAAGCGAGTGGTTGACTGATTGCGAAAATTTTTCATTGTCTAGGGAGAACATGAAGAAACGTAAAAACGTTATAAGATATATAACTTAAAAAATTTTTTTTAAAACAAGTATAATACATCTCTCTGGTAAATCTCTCAGAGTCCGACAATTGAAAAAATCCATATTAATATTGAAAAAAATTGTCAAATTTTGATATCAAAAGAAATAAAAAATTAATATTAAACAAGTAAATATAATGTCCAATGTATAAAATAAAAAATAAAGAAAACTGTCCACGTTCTCGACGAATTCGAGAACTGTACTGCGATAAATTTTGACAATGCAAAGTCAAATCTTATTTAAATTATACTCGAAATATATGATTTATGAAGACCTTCTGTGTCTGTCTGTAGGTTAAGTCCGTGGTTAATCCATATTTTTTCAGGCAAATTTTTCAATTTTTTTTCCACCCGACGTCCCAAAAGAAAGGCATAATTTTTAACTTAATGACAGAATTTTTTTGTTGTCGGATTCCATTTTTCAAAAATATAACTCTCATTGTGATAGAACATTTTGATAGAAAACGATTTTCCGCTGAAGTTCATTTTTGATATCACTCGGAAAAGGTTGTCTAGAACTAACAACTTAGAAAATAATGAAGAATCAATTAATCTTGATTTACCGTACCTTTTGTACCGACTTTAACAGAAAAATTTAAATAATTTAATAGAAATGGTATCAAAGTCTCTTATTATAATACAAACAAATTAAAGAAATTTATTAAAGTACATAAAGATCCTTTGGACTTTTTCTCGAAGTCTAATGTTGTTTATAAGATAAACTATAATGACTGTGATCTTACGTGGAACAAACGAGAAGGAAGTTGAAAACTTTGATTTTAGAACATCGAAATCATATATGATGGAACATCAGCTCTAAATCGATAATAACAGATCATCGATCGCAATCATGATTTTGTTTGAAACATCA